GTCCTGGTGGGTAATGCGAGGGGCTGAGGGTGGTAGTGATGATGGGCAGAGCTGCCGCTTCATTAGAGCTGATGGAGGTTTGGGAGGAGTGGAGTCTGTGGTGCGTGCCCGTCTCTGTGCCCACGGCCATGCCCACACAAAGGGCCCGCAGAGCAGGTGCTAACAAGGTCGCAGTGCCTCTGAGCCATCTGGGCCGAGCCTGGCGCATCGTTACTGCACCTCTCTTTGTGCGGGGAGCCGTCTGCAGCCACCTCCGCCAGTGCTCAAAAGAAATCAAAAGACGCTTGCTTTCTTTGGAGGATTGTGTGTTTAACTTGAGCTAAACAAAAGGAGCTCTAATTGGTTTGGAACAATCTGTCGCTCCTATGCAAGGAGCAGCTGGCATGTGCTGAAATCATATACTTCTCTCTTTTTTTAATTATAATCATTATTGCTTGCAGTGGACTGCATTTATTCACACAGTGTGGCTAACAGTCCATCTGTAAGAAGCTGGGAGTGTAAACATCCAGGAGTTAGTTGTCGTTTATTCTTTGTGTAATTTTAGTACAGAGGGCCAAAGGTTCAAATCTGGTTAAATCTGGATTTCCTTTTGTTTTGTTTTTCTCTGAAACATCTGGAGGAAATTGGCTTTTCATGATCACGAACTGCCTTCAAATATTGCCTTAAATCTGGCCTAAGATTACGAAGGCCTGCCCATTGCACTAATCACAAATTACAAACCCAGAGGCTGGACACAGACCAAAATTTGTGAGAAGGTTGGGGAAAAAAAAACCCACCGCTGGAGTCTAGTTTGTAATTTACGATTAGCTTGGACAAAATGCTATGTGCTTAGTGTTGAATAGCTGGAGACTTCATTTTCACATCGGTTTCCATTATTACTCTAAAGATGTGCAGACAATGGTTTGCAAGTATACGCTGTGACACGGTCAGAGCGGTATGAATCTGATCTATCTCTTATAATGCTATTAGCGTTGCAGGAGGAACCCTATACTTCCTTAGTTTTCTTTTTTTTTTACTGTTTCACTGTGGTCTGTTTCTGAAAGTCTTTTGGCTGTCATTATGTGGTTACCTGTTTGGCTTTTCTGGCATTGCTTCTTTGATTTAACCAATTGATGTTTTCAAATGAAGGTATATAAATGGGGAATAATCAGCTGGCTAAAATTATAGCCAATTAAGGCACATAACCGCAGCTGGACCTTCTGACTTGATTTGCATTCCAAAACCATTTCAAAGGCAACAGCAGAACTGTAATCTTTCTGTTTATTTAAAAGATTTGAGGGTTCTGTTTTGTGGTCAACCATATGGCATTCGAACAAATATGAAAGGGAAGGTTCATTCATAAAGAAACGGCAGCCTTATTATTAAAGGACCCACACACACGCAAGCGGGTGCACACACAAGCCTGCACTTATCCTCATTTACTGGACTACTTCAGCAGAGCTGGAGAGCTATAAGCATTGATTAAAAATTAATTCAACATCCAGCTGTTTTAGAGACATCCAGTTGTGTTGTATTAGTGAAGCTATGTTTCCATTCAAATTATGAATTTAATTAATTTTATTTTATTTTTATTATTTATTATTTTTGATGAAAATATTTGGCATTTCAGAATGGCCAGAGTGCAGAATTATCTTTTTGATAAGCATCTAGAAATTTATGTGGTGTATATGTTTTCACAGTATTTTATGCTTCTAATTCTAATAATGTCTTCTCACTAAATAAATTTAAAAAGTGGGGAAAATTTATTTCCGTTTAGTGTGAATTTTCATAAAAATGTTCAAATAGAAATACTTTAAAGTAAAATTCAATTCCTTAAAGGGGTCATATGATGTTGCTAAAAAGAACATTATTTTGTGTATTTGGTGTAATGAAATGTGTTTAAGCGGTTTAACGTAAAAAAAACACATTATTTTCCACTGTACATTATTGTTTCTCCTCTATGCCCCGCCTTTCTGAAACACGTTGATTTTTACAAAGCTCATCGGTCTGAAAAGCGAGGTGTGCTGTGATTGGCCAGCTATCCAGTGCGTTGTGATTGCCCAAATACCTCAAGCATGTGACAGAAATGTTATGCCCCTTACCATACTGTGATGCCCTGTCAGGCCGGAGCAACGAGACAAAAACATTAAAACCCATTATGCACCCCATAAACACAATCAAGTCTAGAAAAAAAACACTGAACCACCCCTTTAACTTTTATAAAGAATATCTCTTTGGATTTGAGACTTTAGTCTTTGCAACTTTACAGATCTTCTTTATGCACCAAGAGCTTGTAACACTTCAAAGAGAAAGGAAAAATGTAAATCGCATCATATGACCCCTTTAACATTAGTTAATAGGTATTATGAACTAAAAATTAAGACATTTTTTTTACAGCATTTATTAATCGTTAATCCATGTTTGTTCATTTAAATTAATGTTTAGTTTACATTAAAATGTGTATATACATTTATCTTTTTATTAAAATATTTTAGTTTGAGTAGATATGAAATTTAACCAATTAATATTAATCATATTATTAATTAATCTTAATATTCATTATTATTTTGTATATTTGTATAGAACTTTTTTATAAAGTGTTACTTGTTTACTTTACTTTTACACTTTTTCAGGAAGGCTAAGATCCAGAAAACATCCGAGCTCTTCAGGAAGGATTTCCTTGATTCTCCTAATTAAATCCTTGGGCCCTAATCTAGTATATACACTAATCTAGTGCACACATAAAGACAGCTATCATAATCCATAGTGTTGAAAGCTGCCTATCTACAGTAATACACACAATGCTGGCTAGTGGTTAGACAACGTCTGTACAAAGACTGGAATCTTCCTCCTTTGCTGTTCATTATTGAGCGATCTATCCTAGTTCATCTGCTGCGATCTCTGACTCGGTAAGAGATAACAGAGCTTTATTGTGGCTACACTATAGACTCTTCCCAATGAGTTTTAAAGAACAGAGATGTCTTACAACAATCATAACGGATATTAAAATGCTGTCAAAATTCTGCTCATGCACCGCTCACCACAAAATCCCTTGTATATCTCGGCACAATAGATGACATTTAGGCAGAAGGAAAAAAAGGGCTGAACTGGGCCTTTCTTGTGGGAAATCCTGCTACTGGCCTGAAATAACAGCATTATCTTGAGAAAATCCCAGATTAAGCAGACAGGTAGGAGCATGGCCGCGCTCCGGGAAGTGCACGGGGTGGAAATCTGAGAGAGAGCACCACGGGGGGCTAATGCTCCCATCCCAGGCCACAGCTGATCCCCACCTTGACTGACAGGGTGCTGTGCATGGGCCTGCATACAACACAGCCCACGGAGAGACAGACATGGCACCTCCCCGCACAATCCTTCCCAGACTCCTCTGTGCATTCACAAGCATGTTCAGCACAACTGCAAAGCTCCACACATGTAATCATAGGCAAACCTGCAGATACAGAACTCATAATTATTTAGTTATGTAAAGCACTGCCACATGCTCATATTCGCAGGAGAAATCAGCCACAACATAGAAATCAACAAAGGACTCAAGGATTGATGAGACTGCACCCTTAGCACATTTACATTAGCAACAACTCTAGAAAAATATGTAGAATGCATGCTATGGATTCACACATATGCATCATAAAAAGGCATAATCATAAAAAGAACTGCATAAAAAGTTGAAGTTACAAGCTATGAAGTCTAGTAGGTGGCAGTGTTTCAGAGATTATAGAGTCTTTAGATATTTTCAGACTTAAAATTATTCATTTAAATGTATGTTATTGTTTACATCACTGGTTCTCATTCTTTTTGACACTCCCTGCATAATAAGATATTAAAATAACAATAACTATATATAACTTATAATTTATTATTGCCAGAATGTCAACATAGGTAAATTGGCCATACTTTATTTTAAGGTCCAATTCTTGCTATTAACAAGCCATTAACTAATTTTTGCCTCAATAAACTCCTAATTTGCTGCTTATTAATAGTTAGTAGGATAGTTGATAAGTTTAGGTATTGGTTAGAATTAGGGATGTAGAATATTATCATGCAGAATATGTGCAGAATAAGTACTAATAAAACATTATGTCATTATGTTAATAACAGGCATGCTAATAAGCAACTAGTGAGAATTGGTCCCCAAACTAAAGTGTTACCAGTAAATTAATTAATTATTTTTCATTTTCATTGTGTGATTCTAGATGTGTGTGTGTGTGTGTGTGTGTGTGTGTGTGTGTGTGTGTGTGTGTTTTTTTTTTTTTTTGTGTATTATTATTATTATTATTATTAAATAATTGTTTGAATATAGTAATTTAAATCATTTAAAGTCATCCTACGCTGTAAAAAATCCAACTTGCAAATTGTTAACTCAGTTTAAAATTGTCAGTCAAGTGGACAAATTTTGGAGCACATTGTTGAGTTTACTTATAAAAACGATTTAACTGCATGTTTATCACTGCTTTGTTGAGTGAATGTAAGTACATAAGTTGAGACGACGTAATATTTTGATTTCATGGTTTGACCGTTAAACTTCCTGTTATTGCGCATGCGTGGTCTCTCTTCGCGGTATTTTGCACGGGGTTTCCTCTTCCAGCCACGCCATCAAAGGGACTGGATTTCGCCTGGTTGAGGACTTGAGGTAAGCTTTATTTTAAGATTATTATTGAAAATAAACCAAATAAACTGCACACATAGAATGTAAAGTGCAATGATATGTTCCTGCAAGTCAAAACTCGGTCTGAAGCACTTAGTTTTATTTTAAAACGAGCCCAGACAGCAAGTTATCGATCTGCATAACGTTCGTTCAGCTGCTAACAAGATGTGCATCAAAATACACGGTTAGACTGTGGTATTTAATACAATAAAATGTACAGAAGTAGATTATGTTTTGTAGACGTGTCAATTTCGTTCATTAATGTTCACTTTGATTTTGTCTAACCTACGTAGTATTCTCGTTAAAGTAGCGAGTTTAATCGTAATCTATTTTTGATTTAGGCTTCAAACGAATATGAAAAACGGGAAGATTTTATTATAAGTCACGTTGGTCCGACCACAGCACAGTCCAATTGATAAGAGTTGTCATTTCTGTCGGCTATAAGAAATATCAAAGGGCGAATAAAATGAAAACGGAACCAATTCACGCTGCTCGTTTGCGCTGTACCGGACCGTTTAAGGTTAGATAGCGCCGCGCGAGCGTTGAGAGATCCGGTGAAGAGGGAATACACAGCAGAATTATCAACATCGCTGCGAGATCTAAGTTAGTAAGAATCATTCAGATTCGGTACAGAATTCTGTTATTAATCAATAGATGTCAGATAACAGAGTGCTGACGTAAAAAAACAGGATGGATATTGTGATATAAAGTTATAAGAACGCCTTTAATCCACATATTATTCACCACGTATTTGTAGTAGCCATTACATTAAATAACTGCAACAGTGGTATGGCAGTAACAGTCAAATGCTTTTGAGTGCTTTCAAGTGCTTCATACAACTTTTTCCAGCACTGTTATTTTTTTTTGTGATTACTAAAACATTATTTTTTTATTCATTTTGCTTTTGAAAAATGTATTAAGACGTAACAAATTGTAATGAATGATAATAAACAAAAAAAATCTGCATCTCAACTGAATCTCAGTATTTTTCAGATCTTTTGAGACTATATATATATATATAGATAGATATATGTGTGTGTGTGTGTGTGTGTGTGTGTGTGTGTTTTATGTTGTTTTAAACATTTAATGTGCAATGTTACATTTCTTTTAAATTAACATCTTTTTTTCCCCTTTTTCATAGGTTTGTAATACAGTGTAAACTTTGCAAATTTGCTCACAGTAGCAGAGAGGTCCTCCTGAAACACTACAGGTTTCACCACTATCAAGGGCGATCCTGGCAGCAGCCTTGCCTGTATACTGACTGCATCTGCACTTTCAAAACTATAGGTGCGTTAAAATCCCATTTGACAAGAGCACACAAACAGACTGGTGCAGTGACAGAGCTATTTAATTTTACATGCCAGTTATGTGATTTTAAAGATGTTTGTCAGCCATCTCAGTTTTTAAACCATATCAGAAACCATTTAAAGAGACACGATGCAGTCAAATGTCCTTTTAAGGATTGTGAGTTGACTACCAATGTTCTTTCAACTTTTAGTAGTTACGTGTCTCGTAAGCATAAGTCTCAAGGTTTCAAAGATTTTAGCTCTTCTTTTACATTTCAAATTGACGATTTGGAAAGCAATGAAGAATCATGGTCGGAAGAGACTGGAGATCCTATGCCAAATCCACAGTCAAGAGTTACAGCTAACAGCTTTTGTGAAACAAACTCGTATTCAGAGAGCCTGTAGACTATATAGGGCTAGAGTGCAAACTTGCATCATTGATCCTTTATATGCAGACAATGTTTCAAAAAGTGCAACTCGGGAGATATTAAACTGGATGAGCGATATTGTTTCATTCTTCCCTTCAAAAGGAAAGGGATGCATTACAGGAGAAATTGAAGAAGAAACATCTCAACATGGCATTTGTTGACTCGAAAATGGAATTGACATTCTCATTGAGAAGGAAGGAGATAGTTGAAGAAGAACCTCTTGTAGCTGATGTACTAAGACAATGGCCAGCATTGTTTTTTGGAACATCAGGTAAGTTTTAAAGAGTAACTTGTGATTTTTTTTTTCCCTGTAAGATGAATAGACTTACTGTACACTTGCTGTATTCTTATTGTTAATTCTGATTTTTTTTTTTTTTTAGATATGTGCTGAGTTTTACAGAATCACACAAACAAACCTTAAGAGTAAATTTTTCTCTTATCTGGATGAATATACACCGCGGATGATCAAGTTGTTTAGGGTACTCGGCGGAGCATATGGAGATAATATTAAGACCCTCCTAGACCAACTTGATGATCAGGTAATTATTTAGATTGTGTTCCTATATCTCTCGTTAAGGGGAACCTATTATGATTTGTTGGGTTGACTTTCTTTTAGTGTGTAACGTAGGTAATGTAGGAATTTGAATCAATCTAAACACGTGATGTATATAATTTTTTTTCCATATTCCACATCGATCCATATCATTTTTTCCATGTTTGTCTTTCTTTGTCTCAGACCTCCGATGTGCTTGCTCATAGAAAGGCTACAGCTCTCAAAGGTCTACCTTTGTTTATGAGGGAAAAGTCTGAACATTTCCTGAAGACTTGCCTGGTAAGATGATTTATCAGCACATACATTTATACTTCAAATCCATCTCCAGATCCTATCAGGGGGTAACAGTTTTGTCTGGAATCCAAAACTAATCCATTAACTCTACTATCTGCCATGACATAGGAGACAAAGTGATGGTAAAATTAGTTTATTAATTTGAGTTTGGATTTCTGATTTCATCTGAAAACACAATTCAAAGTATTATTCTAAAGCAAAGATAATAGTTAATTACTGCTGCAAAACACTGTCCTGAGACATTGAAAACCTTGAGATGGAGACATTCCATCTGATCTCCAACCAGTGAAAAGAATACAGCACACAACACAATCATAAGATTAAGCAGTAATGTAGGAAAAACCAAGGGTAAGTGAGATTGTTAATATGAAATACACCAGAAAATTAATATAGAAAATATAAACAACAAATGAAATGATTTACTTACCCTTGTGTTTTTCGCCCTTACTGTCTGAATGCAGTTGCAGAATTCAGATAAAAAATGGCTTTTGACCTTGTTTTATGCTGCTTTTTACTGCAGGACACAGAGCCAGAAGAAAATCATACAAAAGGGAATAAAGATGGGGATCTTAACCATCATTGAAGATGACGTTGCGACCATCCACTCAAACCCAAATGTTAAGGTGCCTGTCTGTGGTTCTAGAGGAGCATATCGTGCTGGATAATGTGCAAGACCTTCCCACTGCTATGGCTCTTCTCTTTGGCTTGATTTATGCCCTGAACATGAACTATCCTAAAGAACTCAAGTACACCTTTGAAACGATTCAAAAGGTGTGTATTGGTCTTAACCCCCAGTGCTCAGCAAGAGTCCAGTCCTTCAAAAACAAACTGTCAATGTCTAAATAGCTGGATACGAATAAGGGAAAGCACTAAGCTGTTCCTTTTGTGCCATCTGATGTTTCCGTAAAAGTGTCAAAAGAGGAAATATTTTAATGTAATGAACCTTAAATGTTGTTTTTACAGTTGTAAAACTGGATTGCTCAAACACATTTGTTGCAATTTTTAGAATCCTGAAGTCTTGTTCATAGATATAGCACTTTAAGACTGTTTCTTGTACTTTGTTACTCCAGCGCTTTAAAAGATGTTGTGCTGTAAAATCACTTTAAAAGCATTCCAAGAAGAGAGGAAAGTGTTCTTTTGCCTCTTAAGGGGCCTCAATGTGACAAATTGTGAATAAATATTTTCTGTAATGATGGCATAGTCTTTTGTATTGTTTTTACAGCATGGCTGAGAAATATGGATGCGAGATTATTCTTAGCTAAATTAAAATATGAAAATAAAGCTGAATCAACTTAAAAACGCAAGGTCAACCAGCTGCAAAGCTTTTTTGAGTTGACTGAACTTCATGCCCGTGTAGTTGTGGCTACTCGTTTTTTAAAGTTCGCTCAACTCCCTTATCCAGCTTCACTGAACTTTCAAAAATGATTTGGCACAACTTCAACCACCGAAGTTGAGTAAACTCAAAAATGCTTTGCAGCTGGTTGCGTTATTTTTTTTAAGTTAACTCAACTTTTTATTAACTGGTTTAAATTATTATTGTGTGAATTTTTTGAATCTGGTGAATTTATTTGTTGGTCATAAATGTAGATTTAAATACATTTTTAAATGCAACATTTTTACATACAAGAATAGAGAGACTTCATTTTTAATTCATCATAATGAATCACAAAACATTGCATGAAGTGGTAGTTGACTCAAATCTGAATCTTTTTACTGCCGACTTAGAACATGAAAGTTCAGTCTTGTAGTGTGCACTTGCCATAATACTCAAAAAACAGTACTGAGCCCATGTTACAGGATGGATACAAAAATATACTGACATTGTCTACATATAGTTCTATGTATTCATTAAACAATGTGTCAACTGACAAAGAAAAAATAAATAAATAAAGCCCAAACAAACTGGCAGGCATTTAGCATTAATGATGCAACCAACTAACTAGCCTATTCTCGACCCTTGATGACCTTGCCAAACCCTGGGAATGCTTTTAAAAGTGGAGGCATGCAATAATAATTTTTTTCTCATTCTTCTTCCTGAGCCTCCCACTGAGGGGAGCATTACACGCTTTTCCTCAGCCCATCCTGTTCATCCTTTGCTAATGATGGCCCACTATTACTCGTCAATGACCTTACACTCAAACACGGTTCGATTTACACTCTCTCCTCTGAAATTTACAGAAAGGATGGGTAACCTGTGGAATAATTGGATAAGCAAGGCCAATTAAATGGCTAAAAAACCAAAATGTGCTGATGGTGCCAAAAAGAGACGAGGAGATATTTTTCTGTGCTTGATTGCCCTCGCTCCTGAAAAGACGCAGGGCAGGGTGCATGTTTGGGCAAGAAAGAGAGAAGAAGGACTTGAAAAGGTTTGACTGCTTAGCCTAGTCCTTCAGCAGGACCCCAAGCGCAGTAACCTTATATCAAAGACAGAGTGTCGAACGGGGAAGGGAACTACATTAATTATTAAAGCACTTTTGGTAACAAGCTGCGAGTCGGTAGATGCCTATTGTAAGGACGACTTCCTCCTGTTTCCAATTATCTACTTTTAACAGTCCTATAGTGCTGTGAGTTTCCCCCAAGCCCACGGATGGGTCTGGCTGCTCCACGGCCAAGTGAGTGAGAGGTGTGTGCTAAACCATATAACGCTAACTGCTAACATAAGGCGAACTCACTATCCGTGTATCCACAGAGGAACAGACTGTGAGAGGAACCAGTTCATCCCAGCTTTCAGCCGTAGAGTCGGATACAATTATAATTGTTCACTTCAGGAACGCAGTACATGATCTCATTCAGAGAGCTGGTGGTTGACTCCACACATAGCAGAAATCACAACCTGCGCTGAAGGTCTTATTGGAAGGCATCTCAGGCACTCCAACAATTTATTAATTATCTGCCAGACTCGACAGCACTGGCCTGCAGTCTGCCAGTCAGATTTCTCTTATCAACTGTCTTTCGGTTTTTAGCATTTTCCACATTATTTGTTGTCTGTGTAATGCACTTCAGGGGACAGTCGAAACATTCTAAAGGTGTTTGTATTCCCTCAAGTATTTTTGTTTGTTTTTACCAGTATTACGTTTTTTTGTTTTTTTTTACAGAAATTGTAAAGGTTTTTTTTTTTCATCGTTTTTTGTATTTTGTTGAAAATATTCAATGACTCAAAATTTAGTAAAATAGTAAATTTTTCTATAATGACAACTAATTTTGGCAGCCGAAAATAACATTTTAGTTGACAATATTGTGCAAAATTAAGCAAATACATAAAATGTTCTTTCTAGATTTTCATAGTGCATTGTTAATATTACTGTTATTTTTCTTTGAAATTATCACAATAATTTAATTATCCTCATGATGCGCAATTTCCATCTGAGCTTCATTGTTAATGACAAACTTAACACTGGTAGCAACTACAAATTAAATAAACATTTGCAGACCTCAAACATAAAATTCAGCATTTTATTTCATAATCTTACAGACTGCAGCATCCCACATGGGACATGACTGAGTAAATTGCTTTGTATTACGCAGGACATCCACACCATTGTGTCAGGTGCACATTTAAACACACTTTGCACAACACATTGGCTCGGCAGGGCTCCACTAAAACTCCATCCACTCTCTGTCAGTGAGTAGCCACTGATTAGCGTGTGATTTGTTTACACTGACTGATGGCCTTTCACCCTGAACTGTCATTTCACACGTCCACAACCTTGTGCCAGTGAGCCATTTAACACCCTCCAATAAGACCACCAGCCAGCAGTCACCCCACCCTGAAAGAATCATGTTTATTGGGCTCAATAAAACTCTTTGTTCCTCAGGCAAGAGCAGATAACGGGCAGGCAATATCTCAGAGTACTAAATATTGCCGTTATGATAACGGAGATTGATCTGTGTATCATTGCACCGCACAACAGTAATGCAATTTGAAGACTCACTCAGAGGTCATTATCACTTATATTGCAGTGATGAGAACTTCAGGAAGCTTTGCATCTCTCCCACTGCCCGAACATGGTGATTCTATCAAATATTTTGTTGAGCATCTTCCAGTATTTCTGCTTACTCCTCTCATGTTTAATTCATTTGTATAATTAAAATATTAATAATTGAAATTAGAATTAATATTCGACAGCAATAATGCAGCCTTTGGTACAGGAACATGCTTGTGATTGATAAAGATAATTGTATGATTATTCATTATTTTGGTCATTTTAAGTGTTGGATTGATGTTGTGCAACAAAGATGAAGTTCATTTCATGGCTCCTTTGAAGAAGACCCAACTTTTAATGGGCCAACATGAAATTCAGCAACATGAAACATTTTGCATATTTTCTTGAGTTTCATTTTTAATGGAGCTTTTAGGAACTTCATTAAGTACCAAGGAATGTGAGCACACGTATGCATTTGATGTGTTTTTTACTATTATTTTTTTGGTGAAAAGAGCAGAACCGCACAAATCCCATTGTTGTTGGTGAAAATAAAAACAAGTACTGTAAAACTGGCCTGTGTAGTACATAGTCAGGATGGAGTCCTTTCAAGCACAGTTGTTTCAATTATCTTCAAAGCAGAGTAGAGCAGAAACCTTTGTTTTTTGCACACCAATACGCTGGCTTGAACCTGACCCTGTTTCTTCAAGCTTGTTGAGGATTACATGTTCCTTTAGTACTGTTTGATAGTAAGAGCACTTTTTTCTCATTTATAATTCATTTTCTCCTAATTTATTATTCATTTGGTCTCAAATTTCATTAATTTTCTAAAATGTTTCAATTGGGTTTTTCTAGCTCAGGCAAGAATTTCTTTGTCCCTTTTTATAGATGGTTGTTATTCTTTAATGTCTCGTGTTGTAGAGGTTATCGTCTTCTAGGCGCAAACAGCATTTTTAAAAGTTTTAATCAGCCTTTAATGAAAAGGGTCAGTGTCAGATTGGTGAGATTATGTCTGTCTCTCTGTATTTTTTTTTTTTTCTTGATTTCTTTCACTATTGTTCGGTCGCTTTCTTTTCATGGTCCCCTAGTTGCTCTCTCTTTCTCTTTCTCTGAAATGCCTGCACTAATTACAAACTGCAGCACATGGCTGGTCAAACTGGACCGGGAGTCCCAGTATAAGAAACTGATGCATGTATTATATGCTCATTTAGGTGGCGATATGCGGTATGAAGTTGTGCAAGTCTATAGCTCATTATAATGTTCCACATATACTCTTCTCTAGAGACTTTCTTATAATGTTAATGCCTTCTCACTCGCTTCTGATATTTTTTGCACTAAGCTGGCAATACTTCTCTTCACCTACCCCATTTATAATTCCCATTTTTCATTTTAATAACTAATATTACAGCATTGACTTCAACTTCATCCTTGGGCATAATGTATTTTAGAAGAACACTTTAATCCCTGACACAATTAACCCTGTACAGTCATGGCTGGTCATTTCAGACTGGACTAAAAACATCTAAAATTACTACCACGCTGAAAGAGGTGGTATATGATTTTGAGGGCAGAATTTGGAATTTTTTTGGAAAACCCAGCCATTATTATTTTATTCAGTTTGTGCATGTGGATGCTATAGTATGAGGTCAAGAGAGAACAACCGGCTCACCTCAGGCCTGCATACAGCAGAATAATGGACTGTATCCCTGAAGACTACTGACAGCAGAGCAGGTAGGCTAGAAGTAAGGACTCATGTAGGCTACATAGATTTGTGCTGCGCATTGTATTCTGGGTATAGGGTTTTATGTGCCCTATATGAATATGTCTGCTAGTGCATGCATTCATACCTTTGTCCTTCATATAGGTGGTGTGTCTACAAGCCCCAAATGTCAGTAGTATTATCAGGTGCCTGTTTTGGTTAAATTTGCATCTGGCAGCACCAGTGTGGGCCCATTTCTAAAGAGCAGAGGTTCAGAGCAGTCGCAGCTTAGCATTCATATTGATAAGGGTGTACTCAAAGGAAAGTTAAGAAATGCATTTACCATGTCAAAGCTGGACAAATTCCCTGCTGCCTGCCATGAGCTTGTGCTCCTCTGAGGTTCAAAGAGAAGATGACAAAGAGGAAGATTGTCAGGTGCAATGACTGAGAATAAGACCAGTGCAGATAGAGGGAGCTGGAATAGGCAATGAGCTGTAATTATGACCGGGGTGACCATAGTCTTAGCCTCTGACAGACTGACCGACCACCCACTGTCTGTTCACTGATTGTCTGATGCATAATGTACACAAAACTTGGAAAGCTCTGTGACTGTTTTGCTCTTGTAAATTCTAATCTAGCTGAATCAACACAACTACTGTATGTGTAAAGCATCAGTTAGCCTGAAACAAAGTTGTGTAGCACTGTTACAAATGTAGCAAGTTAACTACATATCCACATGCAGGACTGTAGGCCTATATTTTTATATATCTTCAGAATGACTGCACCACAACAAAAGAAATAATCCTTTAGTTGTGAATGTGATAATGCAGCTTACATTGAATGTAATGAGATAAAAAGCAAAATAGTGAAAAGAAATAACATCTTGCTATTGACTTTCTATTGAGTTGACCAGTGACTCTGTTCAGTAACAATTTATTTAAAGCCTTTATGTATAATGTATAATGCATTAAACATGTATTCATAATGATTGTTGTAACACATTATAAAGTGCTGCTTGAAAGTTTGTGAACCCTTTAGAATTGTCTATATTTCTGCATAAATATAACCCAAAAAAATCATCAGATTTTCATGCAAGTCCTGAAAGTTGATAAAGACAACCCAATCAAACAAATGAGATGAAAATCTCACCGGAATAACACCGGACATTTTTCTCAATAAATAAATGACAAAGTATATATTTTTGTCTCCTTTGTTTGATTGGATTCTCTTTGTCTACTTTCAGGATTTGTGTGAAAATCTAATTATGTTTTGGGTCATGTTTATGCAGAAATTTAGAAAATTCTAAAGGGTTCACAAAATTTCAAGCAGCACTGTATCTTTTCATAAATAAATGTAACCAAAGTTAAAGTGCATTATAATATTTGAATGTTTGTTTATAGTGTTTTACAGTTTTTCTCAATTGCAAATGTCACAACTGTTTGCTGGAACTTCAGAACTTTATTGCATGTCTGCAAAATGTAGTTACTCACCCAAAACATTTCATTCATGCATCAAAACCTAGTTATCGTGTCAGTCATTTGGCCAAGGCCACCAAAATATAAAGTATTTTTGTCATCGTGTGAGCCACACTGGTCAAAATGTTTAGTTGTTTTTTCACCATGACAGTCAACCATGGAAATGAAGGTTTTATAAAAAATCTGATATTTGTTGAGAAGAGTCAATAGTACATAGAAAAAAAAAAAAGTATATGAACATTTGTATTTATGCAGTACATTTATTTTTGTACGAATGCATTACATATAAGTGAAGTCTTGCTTGTCCAATTACTGAACATTTCATATTTCTTATGTTACCACAAATACACAAAAATACTTCTTTTGAATACTTCAAAAATTATTCTTGGTGGACATCCTGTCACTCTTGTTGGTCAGGCCAAAGATTTTCATCAACATCACATCTGATGTTTTCCATTGCCATGCACCGGGGAAAAATCTCCTTGAATGCCGCACCCATCCCCTGCAATGATCAGCTGTGATGTCCTCACATGCAGCATTCATGGCATCCAACAGAGACATCTGATCTTGTGGGCTATGATCATATACTTTCCACCTCCATGCTGAAAAAAA